TATTGTAGATTTAGACTTTCTATATCAATAAGTATAACATTAAGAGAGTGTTGTAAGGTTTATATATATAGAACCAGAAGCTTTATATATAACAATGTCAGATATTGTTTTTTTAAATAATTATGTTGTATAGAAACTATTTTATAATATAAAATTTAGAACACAACTTCAAATAAAAATATAGCATAATGATTTATAATCAATGATTATTGAGAATACTGGATAAACCCAATAGGTGCCAGTTTTCAGATAGCCGCTGATATTTATGGTAAATGAATGATTATTCTAATCATTTTTAAATAATATTTAATATTTATATTAACATATTTTCACCACTTTCATTATTACCATCTTCCCAATCCTCCTCATCATTTTCGTTCTTATTATTATTATCATCATCATTTCTATACTCACTATTATTATTTTCATCTTCCACTTTATCCTCCTTCTTTTCATTCCTATCCCCATCATCACTCCCATCACATCATCACTCTCATCCTCATTTTCCTCTTCCCTCTCATTCTCCTCTTTCCCTTCATTCTCATCTTCTTTATTTCTACTATTTTTTTTTTCTTTGTCCTCTTTGTCCTCTTCATCCTCATTTTCTTCATCTATATCATCTACTTCCTCATCAAAATATCCTGTATTCTTCATACACTTCAACATATTCTCTCAAAGATTATCTTTGTTCTGCCATCACCATATAAATTCAAATAAATGGTATGGAATGTGAGACTTTGTACAACTTTTTGATGGAATCTAATTAAAAAAAAAAACAATTAAGTAATCAGACCAACTTTTATTACCTAGTAAAAACAAAATAACATCCAAGAGTATTATTTTGAATTATGGCCTGTATTAAACTTAATACAGTCCATAATTCAAAATAATACTCTTGAATATGATTTGGTGTCTATAGGTAATTAGTTGCAATTAGTTGATATATGTTTTAATTAATTTATAAATATAATAATTTTAATTAATTGAATTCAAAAATTACTTAATAGTTGATTTAAAAAATTTTAAATTGAATGTTTTTTTGGTTAATATTACTACTAAACTGAATTTTAATACCATTTCAGGTTTCTTCAATTGTGTTCGTATGAGCATCTGTAGTGGGGTCGACAAAATTTGCACTGTGATTTATGGTTTGGTATCTAATCTCTAAATCAAAATCTATTCTTGTGTAGGCATGCCACAGATTTGAATAGATAATAGAGTTGGTGTATATGTTTTCTTCAATTAGAGAGAGTAGAGTTTTAGCAGTTTTGTCATCAACAGCTTTTGCAAACAATCTTCTCTCCGGAGTTCTCTTTACATCACCAAAGACCTAAACTCCCTTTACACGATAGCCACAATTGTATTTCCGTTTGCCAAACTTTGACTCATCTATTTCTACTACAATATTCAGGCCCTAATCTTAACCTGTGTTTCTTGAATATTAAATCTAACAAAAGACCTATAATCAATAGTAAGAATATTTATGTTAGAAAATTTATTAAATGATCAAAGCTTAGTTGCTAATGTGAGTTATTGTATTTTTGCATAATAATGTGCAGAGATGTAATTTTGAATTTTGGCCAAATTAAGCCAAAATTCAAAATAATATCCATGAGAATTATTACGTAAAAATATGATATTTTTATTTATTTAAATTTATATATTACATATATTATAATCAGATTAGGTAGTATAATAGGGCTGCCAAATTTTATGCCACATTTTTACTACTTTTGTAATAGTGTTGCTTGCTGCAAATATGAAGTGTGACATTTTTATAATATGACTAGAGTTGTGACCTATTGTCACAATAGAAAATGATCTCAGTAATATAGTATTTATGACTTATCTTGTAATAATTATAGCATAATAAGCTGTAAAAATTAAGTTGCACCTTTGTAGCAAGCAACCCTATTTGGTAATGCATAATTTTTTAAACCCTATCAGAAGCCGTATGTAAATTGATTTTTTTTATTTTTGAGAAAAAGTACCAATAATCCATTAAGAACAGCAAGTATAAAAAAAAAATCAAAGTTTTTTTTTTTAAAAAAAAAAAATCATTACCGATTTCTATTCTTATCTATAAAAACCGATATAATCAGTTATAGTATTTGGCAAATAGCCTGTAATAGCTATAATTGAATTATATAGTGCTTTAGAAAGCTATAAGTATCTGATTAAAAGGACTTCATTGGCTTTTAATTGACTCTTAGCAAAAAATGAGTCCTTAAAAATGGATACAGCTTTTTTATACTGTTTTTTTCTATATTGAAAAACTTTGGCATGCCTTGTCATTCTTGTACCACATATATTACATATGGACTGTTTATACAGAATCTCTTTACTAAATAAGAAGTTAATGCAATTTTCTTCTTGAAACAAAATCAATTGTAGAGATGATAATGTAGATATCATTTTAAGAAAGTATGAGTGATGATAATAAGAATCTGTAGATAACACTTTATGTTAATATTATAAAAATTAATCAATAATTGCATCATAATGCTGTAATAGTATCAAATTTTAATAGCTGTGTGCTTGATAACTCGTATTATATTGTCAATATTCAAGAATTTTTTAATCTATATACTTAAAAACATATCAAATAATGTACAATACTGACCAACCATAATGTACAATACCAACCAACCATAATATTTTAGAATAGTCAATCTATACTTTTTCTGAATTTGTACAAAAAATATTGATACAAATGTTTAAACTAAAATTGTTGATACTGATGTATTTTATGATTAAGCTAATTATTCAGATAGAAATATAATAAAACAATATTTCAATATTTAATTTTAATCTGAAGACTACATAGTAGATTATCATTTTTTTTTATTTACTAATCTTTATTTTTCAAAAGACTATATTAACATTATTACAATATACAGTATACGGTATATCAAATATAAATTATTATATACTTATCAGCTTCAATTCCAATCGCAATAACTATAAGAAAAAAAAACTTAATAACAAATAGCTATTTTAAAAATTCTCATAGAATTATCTGTTCCAGTTGACTTCATATTAATGCATAAATGCTTAATGATTACCAATC